GTTCTCTCCAGCGAAGTTCTTCTGTCTCTAGGTTCTGTGTAGGTTCTGTCTTCTAAGTTCTGTCTTCTAAGTTCTGTCTGTCTCTATCTTGTTACATCTGTATTTATACCAGTTGATTCCAATCCTATCGATCTCTATTCCAAAGGTTAGGGCGTTTCTTATCTCCATTCCAGGGAGTAAAGATTATGTAGCTTAAGCATGATTGTTCATAATTAAAGTGATTAATTACCCGCCTGGCACTTAGTTAAGGGGTTTTATTCTCTCTCTAACTTCAGGGGAAAATCTCTACCTGGGGAAACAACCTTTCTCGGAGAGGTGACCTTGGTTAAAACACATAGTGCCAAGAAGGTGAGCAAATATATTAAGAACAGTATGCCATATATGCCAGGTCCCGTGAAACAGCAAGGATGGACCGGCTCCCAGCAGTAGAATCCAAGGGTCAAATGTGAGAAAGAAGACGGTATGGCCAAACCACAAAAGAGTGCATGGCTGTCAAGATTTCCATTGGCCATTATCTTTGGTATTTACTCTCATCACAATATGGTGGACAGTAGCTAAAGAGAAATTAAGGGCCACATGAAGACTACTGTTATGGACCAACCCTGATCTTCCAAAATTGCATCTGGCATGAAGAGATGTAGTCATTATTTCTTGAGCTATGAAGTAATAACTTTTAACTTGCTGGGCAATAATATTTAACTTGTTGTCCTAAGGTTGCCAGAGAGCCTCTTTTTAAAAAAATTAAAATTATATGGGTAACACTGGTAAATAACATTACATAATTTTAAGGTGTACACGATTATAAATTGACATCAGCAAAGCTAGAGGTTGACGTGAGGATCACAAGTCTCACAGTTGCATATGGCGGGTTTCTGAAACTGAAGGGGTGGTACCAACTATGGTAAAACGAACTGGCATTTAGGAAACTCATCACAATGGCTCCATGCGTATATTTTATGGCCCCTAAATCAACTTATGTGAACTGGCTCAACAACGAATAATTATTATATATTTCAGGAATTGTGCATTGTGCTGGAGATATAAAGATGAATGAAACTAAATAAATTCAGTAAAGTGGTTTAGGGTCGACCTATGAACCAGGAGGTCCCAGTTCAGTTCCCAGTTGTGGGCTCGATCCCCATTGTGGGGCATGCAGGAGGCAGCCAATCAGTGATTCTCTCTCAACATTGATGTTTTGGTTTCTCTCTCCCTCTCCCTTGCTCTCTGAAATCAATGAAAATATATTTTCTTAAAAATAATAAATTTTTCACTGTTTGATGGAGGAAACTCACATTAATATAGTAAAAATATGCCATTTGGATAAATAAATTATAAATCCTAGAAAAATGAGTTTTGTATTATTCTAGGTAGTGAGAGACATATCAATGTCAAATGTTTAGAATAAAGGTTAGTTAGCCAATTAGAAAAATTACTTTGGTTAATGGAATAATTTGACTTTTAAATTGGGACTACCCAGAAAATTCTCAACTATAATGTCTCCATAGGTGGATGGTTTCCACCTTCCCTTTGAGCTCAGCTTCCCTGGTACCTCACATCACTCACCAAAAGTTAACCCATTCTATCCACTTATGCAGAAAACTGCTGCTGGAGACTTTCCCTGACTCTAAATCACCATAATATTGTGATTGCTACATCTGAACAACCAGTAAGTACTAATGTGTTTATAGAGCTATTATGGGTTAAATTTGGGGATTGGTAAACCTTTAAAAGTAGTAAGCATGCAAGAATTCCAGCACCTTCTAACTCTAGTGGCTGGGGGCAATTGCCCAATGGGTCATGCGGGCCTTCGGGGGCATGAAACAATAAAAGATATTTGACAAGCATGCAAAAAGTTTATAACCTCTGAGTTAATATGGTGTCCCTTCCTTGGACACACACTTGCATTTTAACAGAGACCTATAGGGAATAATGTATTAACTTAGTGGTTTTTCAAACATTTTTTAATCACTGAACCTAGCCTATATAATAAAAGCTTAATATGCAAATTGTCCCCTCAGGAGTTTGACCAGGAGTTCAACTACTCACTATGACATGCACTGACCACCAGGGGCCACGCAGAACATGGCAGGAATCAGCGACACGGCGCTGTCAGTTGGCAGCACTGGAGGTGCTGCCGGCCCTAATAGGCCCCGACAAGAGCAGGACCGCAGCGGGATGGTGGAGCAGGTGAGTGGGTGGCACCAGGCCAAGGCAGGGTGCCAGGCAGGGCTGTGGGGCTGTGAGGCTGGGAGTGCAAGCTGGGACTGCAAGCCTAGGGGCACGAGCTGGGGCCTGATCCCCACAGGCCACCCCAAGGGACCCTACCCATGCACGAATTCATGCACCAGGCCTCTAGTTTTCAAATAAAACCTAATATATGCAAATAAATACATGTGCCCTAACTGGTTTGGCTCAGTGGATAGAGCGTCGGCCTGCGGACTGAATGTTCCCAGGTTCAATTCCGGCCAAGGGCATGTACCTTGGTCGCGGGCACATCCCCGATAGGGGGTGTGCAAGAGGCAGCTGATCGATGTTTCTCTCTCATCGATGTTTCTAACTCTCTATCCCTCTCTCTTCCTCTCTGTAAAAAAAAATCAATAAAATATATTTTAAAAATAAGTAAATAAATACATGTGCAGCTACTCTGAAGCAGAGATTAGAGAAGGCAGATTAAGTACATTTTTTAGCAAGGGGGGTTTTAATTATGTGCAATTTATAACACATATATGACTGCTATCCTCGTTTATATTGGAGCTGGCCCCCACATCAAATATTCTGCATCCTTATAAGAACCAGAAGACCAAAAAAGAGAGAGAGAGAGCGAAGGGACAAAGATACTGATCATTCGTTCAGATGTACTAGGGAAATAGCTATGTTAGGAATCATACCCGTAAGTGAATGTCAAAAATAAACGAATAAGGTAGAAGAGAAAATTTAGAATAAATTAGAACATTAGAATAAATAGACGTTCTTAGCATCCAAGTTGATCTGAAATTAGAAAAAAAAAAAAATGCTGCTATTGGTTAGCCAGGATTCTGCCTTCAATGACCTTAAAGATTACTCTGTCATTGTCTGTTGAAATCCTAGCACTTTTTTTAATCCTAGTATTTTTTAAGGCCCACCTGAATCCCTCAATATATCCTAATGTTCTTTGTCAGGCACCACCCCTAGAGCACCTCCCTTTCCAAGGAAGGCAACGCTTGAATGTTGGGTCTTGAAGGTGCTGAGGGGTGGGGAGAATAACGCAGAAATGAAGCTTCTGTCCTCATTACTTAGCATCTGTACTCAATTCTCTGACTCTGCATGTCAACTTCTGGCAGTGGGCTTTTGTCCTGGATGCTCCAATTTTGATTTCAGAACCTTCATCAGTACATGTGACAATATTCTTCTTTTCTGATTCTAATCTTGTTTTTCACTTAGTGATTCCCACCTTCATTTGATTTTTCCTGCTCCCTTTCTATCTCTTCAGCTCTGGCCAAGATCTGCACACTCTGCCTGCTCTACGTTCCCAGGAAATGCACCTGGTTCTCGCCCATTCTCCCCTATTTTTCTAGGAAGAAGATTCCTCTGAGTTAGTACAACTTCACAGGGAATTGCTCCCTGCTGTGCTGCACTGCCACAGTGTTGATGATTTACACTATTCAATGTCAATATGCCTGTAGTGGCAGGTTTACAACATGGATCGTGTGGTTCACTCCACATCTGTTGTACCTATAGTCATGTTTCTCAAAGTTTATTCTTTGGAACACTTGTTCCAGAATCATAATGAAAAATTCATATTCCCAGGGCCACCTCAGACCAGAATTTGTCTTGATAGGCTCCATAATGCTGAATTTTAATAAGCTCCTCAAGAGATTTTTTTTTAGGCATACTAAAGTTTGAGAAACATAGATCTAGAGTATAATTATCCATCTCTGACCCCCCCCACATTCATATATCACCTATCATTACCCTTGGCATGTAGTGCCTTGAACATGGGATAAGAAATGAAAATGAGAAGTCATAGACCTGGCCCCCTTACCTCTCATAGCTCCCACCAGAGTCAGAGAGCTCAGATGCTTATGGAAGGCTTGCCCCAAGTTCCGGAACTGCACTCCCTGCAACTGTACCCGGCTGGGCTCCTCTGGGAACGACTGAATGATGATTCTGGCCCCCAGGTCCCTGGACCCCAGCATCTTCTCACTCTTGGAATACAAACAGTGCTGCAAATTACCTGAAATACAGAATGCAGTGAGACACATATAGGCCTGTCTCGCAGTTTGAAAGACAAAGCATTATTGCCTATTTCATTTAATAATCTTATTTTCCTTTTACTTTGATTCTCCTTTTTTAATTATTAATTAAAACATCCAATAACTAGGACACGATGTTGCCTTCACTCTATTATTCCAGAAGCCCCCAACCCCAAATCAATTACCTTAATTACTGTCACAAAGAGGCTGACTGTGGCTCACAAATTGAACCAAAATAGATGTTTATTTCAACCCAAAAGACCAGCTGGAGGAAGTGTGTAATAAAATGAACTTCTCGTGGTTTATAACTGTAGGGAACAAGATATAAATACTGAATGTAATTGTGGCTCTTTTAGTCTTAAACTGTCCAATGGGCTTCCCATTTAATTTTCTGCTTTCTGGTTTGGAGACAACACTAATGCCACTGAAGAAATAGCCAAGGGCTCCAGCCCCTGCACCAATATCTCCTTCCCAGAGAGGACAGCAAATTGTATGGATGTAGTACACACAGATACCATTGCTACAAAGTGTGGTCACCTCAGGATCCAGAACTCTTTCTGTTGACACATGGCATGTGGTGGTATGAACTAAAAATCCATCTCCTGAATTGATTTTTTATTGTCCATGTCAACAAACTAAAGCAGAAGTGCTACTAATACAAAAATGATGTATCAATCCATAGTAAATAATCCAAAAAGTTCTGTCACTTGTTAGCACCCAGAGAATAAATATATAAGAGGTGAATGAAGAGCTGTTTTATATGCTTATTATTTATCACATTTTTTAATATATTTTATTGAGTTTTTTACAGAGAGGAAGGGAGAAGGATAGAGAGAAACATTGATGAGAGAGAAACATCAATCAGCTGCCTCCTGCTCACCCTCACTGGGTATGTGCCTACAACCAAGGCACATGCCCTTGACCGGAATCAAACCTGGGACCCTTGAGTCCACAGGCCGATGCTCTATCCACTGAGCCAAACCAGTTAGGGCGATTTATCACAATTTTGACGATGTTAGTGGTCCCTAAAATATTTAAGTGGTCAGGATTCATATTATTGTGTTTAGCTACCTCATTCCCACATGTCAGCCCCACAGAAAGAAGAGGTGAGTGACATATGTTTTTAGTGAAGCTATGAATTCTGCTTTACTTTGAGAATTTTGTAGTAATGTTAAAGAGTTGTGCTGAAATCAGGGCTGTTTTTTTTCCCATTCGAAGCTAACAGCGTTATCATGACCTAAACCCAGATGCATGGTCTCACTTGCAGGATGATCAAATGCAATGTTTTGCACAATTTGATCTGAAAATACCTGCATGAGAAACCCTACAGTGTTTGAAAAGAATTCAGATCTCAATTCAGCAGAATTATTAAAGTTGGCAGTCAATGGATTCTAACCCACTGCATCCAAACATTTTTTGGAATGACACATTTGTGAGCTAGAAGACTGAGGTGGTGGGGAGGTAGGGTCTACATCCCTCCCTCATGACCACATCCTAACGTTATCGCCACCTGTGTCTATATGTAGATGTGATTCAAATTTTTAACTCCATCTGACATTTCTTCCAGGCTCCGGACACTACCAGATGTCTCAACTCTGATGCTGGCCTGGAATCTCAGACTCGACATGAACAAAATTATACTCATGACTTCCACCCTCCCACCCCAAAATCTGTTCCTCTTCCCAACTCAATAAATAGCCTCATCATCCATCCAGGATGCATGCCTGGGAGTCATCCTTGACACCACACCGTCCTGGACCAAATTTGACAAATGATATCTTCACAACATGTGAAAGCCTCGTAATCTACAGCCTGAGAAACCAAAACATAACCTACTAAACTAGCCATCCCTGAAATAGATGTTTAATAGGCACATCAGTGTGATCCAGTGCCTGTTATTCTTCTAGAAGATAAATTGACTTTCTAACCACTTACTTAAAGTACGTGGTAGTTCACTCAGAAAACAAACTCCAAAAGTGGGGGTGGAGGGGAGGGAAGAGGCCAACAAGCCTCATCAGTAAGAATGTGCTGCCTGCATTCCAGACTTGGGCACTGAGCAGTTTTCCTGAGAAGTTTAGAAAGTGCTTGGAATCAGAGGTAAGGCTACAATATAACCTCAACCCTCAAAATTTAATTATTTAACATTTTTCTTTCCAAAAGAAATAGTTCATTACTCAAGTCAATAATGTTGTCTACCTCTTTCATGAGGTTGTCGAGGGCAAGAAATCAATTTACCAAGAGCATTGTGAAAACTATAGAATATTATACGCACATGCAAAGGTTAAGGGTTTATTCTATTTTGAAAGAAGTCAATAATGCCACATATCATTCGACAATAAGAACATTCTTTTTCACTCGTTGGACCTCCCAACAAAATACTTTACCTTCTGAAGTGTTAGCCTCCTGGCATGAAGCAAGGAACTCTGTCCTCTCACTGGTGAGATTTCCTCGTATGATAATCCTCCTGCTGAGCCGGGCCACTGTGGCCTTCAGAATGTGGTGCTCTCCAGCTACCCAGTTCTCTGTGAAGTTGTGAGAATATCTTTCAAAAAAAGAAAGAAAGAAAGAGACACATCTGTAGATACCACTCTGAATCTTATCAGGAATAGTAAGCTACTAGATTCACGTAATACCCTATGTGGGGGGTCTATTTCTTTCAAAACTCAAATACAAAAGAGTGAACTATTGGCACAAATAAGTGAAAATTAGGAAACTATGATGACTATTGCTCTGACCACCTAACATGGGATTTCTAGAGTTTTACAAGAAAAATTACTTAAGAAATACTAGTATAAATCTGCAAAACAGTGCATGCTTTGTAATTTTTCTTATCAAAACACTTACCATTATTTAATTAAAAATACATCACTAAAAGACAAAAAATATACAGACACCAGCACAGTTAAGACCTCATCTTCCTTCATCTAAATGGACCCAAGCTGTCACTCAGTACCTCAAGGGTGATCTCAGATACAGGTCTGCATTGTGCACAGTTTCCACAACGACAATCTCTTCCATGGGTCTGGCACCTTCAACACCCACTCCACTGATGATGACAACTTCATCTCCAGAGTGCCAGTCCACAGCATCTTCTAGAGCCAATACTGTGTCATGGACAGAGGCAGCTGCTCGAAGATGAGTGACAATTACTTCTGGTAGTGAACCTAAAGCAGTGGTAGGAAAATGTGCTTTCAGACATTCAAATAGCTAATATAAATGTGGTATTACTCAGCCAAAGAATCCTGTGAACAAATAACCTAGGAAAGTAAGTTTCAGGCTCAATAAGCACCAATGCCTTCACTTTTTCATTGTTGTTGTTGTTGTTTAATCTGTCACATGGCAACAATAAAAGTAATCCAGCATTGAGAATGGCATGATACAAAAAACACAGGAATCGGAGTCAGACTTACAACTGAATCACAGTATTGCCATATTCTAACCATGTTCCTTTGGGTAATAAACTCAACAGTGGGCTTCAGTTTCCTCAGTTATAAAGCAGAAGTAGCAGGGCCTTCCCCCCATAGGGTTTTAGGAGGATTAAATAACATAATATTCATTAAACATGTGTTTTGGACCTTATCACATAATAGACCCTCAATACACTGTGCTTTGAGTATGAAATTTTACCACCCATTTCTTATTCCAAATAAAAACAGATAGCTATTCATACTGAATTTCTAATCTAAAAACTTCAGCTCACTTTACAAATTGTGTTAGTAGAGCACAGAGTCAAAATTATCTCAGATTGTCCTGAACCATGTTGTATTAAATGATCTTTTCAAACTCTAAAATTGGGTGGGTTCCACAGAGCACTGCTATGCAAAATTGAAGGGTAGCTTGTGTCTCTAGGAACTTTGGTTTCTGTTGGAGTCCACAGCATCCATCTGATCCTCTGATGCCAGTAGGCTACTCCTTCACTGTCAAAGATTCAAGAAGGTAGACTGTCTCCCAGTTGACTCTGGCCTTTTCCAGCAAGGATCAAGGCAAAAAAAATTTTCAAGACATTATCTGAAGCAATACTTCAGAAAATACATGGCTAACTCCCAACTCCTTCTTCTTTCCTCAGTACATTTCCTTCCTCCTTTGCAATAGATCATAATTTACCTTTAGCCCACAGCAACTTCCTGTCCTCCCCTATTGCACTACAGTAATATAATAATACTTGAATCTCTAACTACAGGGGTGGCCAATAATAAATCATTTTCAAATCATTTTAGATTTTCCTCTTTATTTGTCTGTGTATGTATGGGCACTTGCACCAATAATGTTGTTTTTGGCTTTAAAAGGTCTCTGGGTTAATGATGTAATTTCTGAAGTTTACTTGGGCAATAATTTTATCTTAAAAAACATTTAGAGTCCAACATGTCTAATTATAGGGCAGGTAAAAATTAAGACATAAATCATCCCAAAAGAAAATAATTTTAATTTTGTTCCTTGTTTGTTTTAACCTTTGGGAACAACAAAATTAAATAAAGTTTATTTATTATATGTATATGCACATATATGTGAATTTCTATGATTGGTTCTTCAATGTTTGCACAAGAAAATCTCTAAGGAGCAAAGAAAGTGTTTATCAAAGGCAAAATGCTATTAAAATCTGTGATCAATTGTTCACAATATTCAATATGCAACAAACACCTACTATGCACCTATCAACATGCAAGCTATTCATGGAAGAACCAAGAGTAGGGATAAAAAAATATTTCTCAATTAATCATTCTTAATCAAATAAATAAAAAATCAGAGAATCTTTGAAGTGCATTTTTCATTATTAACATAAATTTATGTCCTTTCAAATGTTGACAGAGCCTCTATAATACAGTAAAATTATTTCAGAATGTACTCACTCTCATAAAAAATATGACACGAACATCAAACATGCATGCTTCATAGTCACCAGTTGTATTTCTAGCTATGTAGGAGATAGCTATTATCATCTCAAATTTGAGAATGTCAAAATTATGATAATCAGCTGAGCTAGATTCTCTGCATCTAGCTTTTATTCTTCTGGCTATTCTGCATTATTTTTTAAACTTTGCTAAGTTATTTTAATTATATCCCTTCTTTTTCACTTAACCTACAGCATCTGCCTACAGTACTCAGGAACAAAGCACCAAATTCTCTTCCTGACTTAAGATTCTCCATAAGTTTACTCTACTTTATAGTCTCTGACTCCTTAATTAAGTCTCCATTCCAGGAAGCCCAGTCTCATTACCTCCTGTCATTTGACAGGATTACTTCCATCTCTATCCCTTTGCCCATTCTGTCTCTTCCACCTGAGTGCTCAGCCTTCTTCATGTCGCCTATTCTTCCAAAACACAAATCAAGCCCCACCTCTTCCAGTGAATTTCAGGCAGCATTTCAGCCCATGCTATGTCCACCTCCTCCCACAGACATTACAGTGCTGTGGGTCTTCCTTATGCAAAAGGCCTATGTGCATCTGAGACTTAGGCATGCCCAAGCATATCTGGCTAGTTGATGGGCCATTTGTGTGAGTTGTGTTATTAGTGAGGGAGAAGCGTACACGAGGAGCAGGTGAGAGAAAAAGATGACAGAGACAGCATGGGATCTGCCTCAGATACGGATTTTCGTTCCTGACCAAACAGACCACTGAACCTGAAGAAAGGAGCTGAAGGAACTCTCCAGATGGATTTTGCACCTGATGCTCCTCTGTTGGGATTTTCATCAACTCTTTCTTCAGAATGATGTTAAACTTGATTCCTCAGAAAAGCCCCTGAGACCGCCCTAACGGGGTCAAACCCTCCCATCACCATGTTCCTCTCCTTGCCAGCACTGAACGCATTGCCATTTGGCCTCTATTAATGCCTTTCTCTATTTGTCTCCCCTATTAAACAGGACAGGAGGAGTTATGCCTATATTTGCTCACCATGATAGCACCAATGCCTACTATACTGTCTAGCATATAACAGGTGTTTAATAAATATGTACCGAATGAGGAAAATCATGACTGAGTCATGGAGAAACCAGCACTCCAAAGTTTTGGTGTCCAGGTGATTAGGTAGGACGCTGAGTGGCAAAAGAGGAAGTCACCGTGCTTCATCGTGGGACACAGCACACTGTACACCTCAGGGTATGACCACCTGGGCAGCAAAGAAAGCCTGCGCCTTGGCACCCATGTGTTCAGGACTCTCATGGCAGGTATCAGCAGCGGGGGCTGGGATGAGGCAGCCCCCAGCACCTCCCTAAATGGAAGACAAGGACCAAGAAAACCAAAATAGGAGGAATGGTGCATGAAAGATGAGACGGGCTAGTTGATGAACTCATGAAATTCGTCATGAGAATATCTTCAGCAAGCAGGCAGAAATGCTGGAAAAGGCTGGAGGTTCTGTGAGAGCTGGGGGAGGCAGGCAGTAAAATGCTTATGATCACTACTGAAATATCTCAGGTTGAGCAGGTTCGGAGAGGCCTGGAGAGATTTCAGTTATATAACCCACAGTCAGTACCATGTATTTCAATACTAAATTAGTCCATAATTATTACAATGCATGTGTCTTATCCCCCCATGAGGACAGTCAGCACCTTGGATGCAGGATATTGCCTTATGTTTCTTTTATATGTGTCAGAATTCCAGCATGGTCCTAGGCTCACAATTAGGATTCAACACATAAGGATTTAAATTAACTACTTTGAATATTGCCTTCCAGATACTTTTCTGCAAATCTCCATCAGATATATACCTAAATGAGTATATAATAGCTAATCTGTAAAAATTACTACAAAAACAATTATTAAGCACTTAGAACAAGTTCTATGCTAAGTAGTTTTACTCTAAAGTAAGAATTGTTTCTGTTGTTGGTTTTCTTTTAACAGATCATACAGCCTAGAAAGTTGAGATACTTCAAGGACATGATTACACAGCAATGAGATGTCAGCAGCAAGTTCTGAAACCAGGTCTTCTGGATCCAGAACCAAAGAACTGGACATATAATGGAATTCCTGACCTCTGGAAATATCTACAATTAATTTATCCAATCAAATTTGATTCTTAAAACATTATATTCCTTACTTCATAAATATTATTTAAATGCCACACAAGGTGGAACGACTGCTTCTCTGATGAAGAAGGCATTGCACACATTTTGAACATGAGTCATTTCACCTCACAGCTCTCTTAAGAAACCCAGGTTGGGCAGCTGCCTTCCTTTCTCTACCACC